GCCTGCCCTGCACCCAGCCTGGGCCCTGGATCTGGGTGACCCGGCCGGGCGCAGGGCTCGGGAGCTCCCAGAGGGGTGGGCCCGCGGGGCGGAGGGAGACCGGACTGTAGTCCGGCTCACTGTGCGAGACGGCAGGTCTGGAGCCGCTGGACAGGGGCCCGGGAGCTGTGCAGTGCTTAGCCCTGCCAGGCCAGGGGCCCAGGTAGACATCGGAGGCAAAGGTGGGTGACCAGACCCTTGGAGCCGTGCTCCCTTCCCATTCCAGTAATGCCTTTGTTCTTTCCAGGATTAGAGGTTGTAGATAAACCGGGCGTGGCTGTGCACGCCTTTAACCCCAGCTCTGGGGAGGATGACGCAGCAGGAGAATCGTCCCATAGTCAAGACCAGCCTGGGCTAAATAGTGAGATTCAAAAAGCCAAAAATAAACAAAAAAGGAGATGTGGATGAGTTGAAGTTAATGATGCTTGCCATAGCTGTGTGCCTTGTTTCCCCACTGGATCAATCTCAGCTAAGCGACTCTCCGTGTACCCTCGTGGGACCCCACCTTGTGCCCACCTTGTGGTTTTGCTGTATGAAGTGCCCCTGACAAAGGAAATCCAGGACCCGTTCTTATTTCCGAGGACACGCTCCTGACCTCCTTTGTTCATGACATCACCTCCCGTTTTGTGACACCCTGAGCAGCAGGGCCGTGGTGCTGGGAGGACTGATGTGGTGTCCATGCACCCGCTGTGTGGGCTCAGCTCCTGCGCTCCCACCCCACGTCCCTCCTGTGTCCACTGGGACACAGGACACAAGCCCGGGCAGCAGTGGTGGTGATAGTGTCGCTGTCTGTGAGCCCAGGAGCCTCAGCAATTCCTTCCCCTTCCTCCCTGCCCGCAGCCGGGCTCTCTGCCCCCTCTGCCTCTGGTGCACCCCTCCCCTCCTCCGTGGGTCCCTAGGGCTTCTCCTTCTCCCTGGGAAACCCTCATTCACACCCCCACCCCACCCTGCTGCACCTCTAGCCCAGGTAAAATCCAAAGCACCAAGAGGGAAGAGTGCAGAGCCTGTGTGGGCCTGAGTCCCCCCTTCAAGGCTGCATATGGCCCCAGGAGAATGGTCTCCAATCCCGTCCTCCTCAGTGACTCCTGCATATCCCTGCTCTTAGGGACTGTGACCCCGGCCCCCAGATCACAGGTTGGAGCCCTCACCTCAGCCCCTCAGCCCTCAGCCTCTGCAGCTGTCCTCACATGTACGTGAGGCCCTGGGCCACCCTGACCCACCACACACCGTCCCTGGGAAGGGAATGGCAAGAAAAGGACCTCGCCAGCCAAGGATGGGCCGGGCCGGGTTCTAGCTCTGCGGAGCCCACGAGGACACCGTCCCTGTAGACTCACTGTCTGCCGGCTGTGCATGTGGGCACGCACTGGTTTCTCTGCTGCATTCCGCCTCTCCCCAGTGGTCCAAGGCTCCTGTTGCTGGCCCCAGGGGCTTGGTGGCCTTAGAGGACAAAAGGGCTCAGCTCAGGTTGTGACATCTTGTGCCACAGATTTCTGGAGGCTTCTCCGGTTCAGCAGAGTGTGGATTTGGACTTCAGATCCAGAAAAAGCAGTGACAGTCCCCAGGTTAATCCCTGCCCAGTGCTCTGTCCCCAGCCTTGGCAACGAGGAAGGGGGTGAGACTCACCCACAGGCAGGGACGGACACAGTCCTCACAGAGGCCCTGAGCCCAAGCCCTCGTCCCTGATGTGGCCGGAGTCCAGTGACCATGGCCACCCTAGGCCGACCACAGAACACGTTTAGCCCCTTCCACCCCAGTGCCTTCACCCACTCACCATGTACAGCACAGGTAGTGAGGCCTGGTGACCGTGGCCACACCCCGCTGCTCCCGGGCTTTCTCTAGCCCTGTCCCTGTCACAGCAGCCATGAACCCTTCCCAGCCCCACTCCAATCCTGAGGGTCCTCACAGCCAGAAAGGGAGTTACTGGTTCGGTCCCTCGGGTTTGTTGGGAAACACACCTGTCCTTTTCCACCAGGACCTTTGTTTTTCCTCCTTTTCCCTGACAGTGGCACCCAGAGCAGGCTTGGGGAGGTGACAAAGGCTCAGTGGGGCTGTAAGGGGCCCTGCTGTTCAAGTCACCTAATCTGAGCTGTTTTGTTTCTGTGGCCAACAGAGTCAATCAGAACATCTTGGCCTATAGGGATTTCTTTTCTCTCTGTGTAGCACTGGAGGTTGAACCCAAGGTCTTCACACTGAGCTCCATCCCCAGCTCGTTTTTATTTTTATTTTGACACAGGGTCTCCCGAAGTCATTAAGTTGCCCAGACTGGGTTTAAACTTGTGACCCTCCTGCCTCAGCTTCCTGAAAGAGTTAATGCTGTACAAACCAAGCCCGCAGGCTCATGATGTCAAAGAATGAAACTACAGGCAAAAGGGGGGAAGCTATAGAGTTTCTGTTGGAGTGAAGAGAAGGACAACAGCTCCTGGATTACCTGGAGGGATCCCAAGTGGGTCACCAGTGGCCTAGAGACCCTCAGCTTCTCAGGGCTGAGTGGAGCCTGGGACTCCCCAGTCATTTGGGGGCCACCTGTGCCAGGTGGCTCTGTGGGTTTAAAGTGGCCCCTGGGAGCTCGAGCTTCTGACCCTCTACTCAGCATGCACGTTTATAGGGACCTGGGGCTTTAAGGAAAAACTGCTTATTTAGCACTTGAAATTCCTGCAAAGTCTACAGTTTAGCTGGGAGGGGCTGCACTTCCTGTTGCCTGAGGAAGTTCCTGCTGGGTTCAAGGTCCTAGTTCACTGCCTGTTCTTCTTTTCATTCTTTTTTGTTTTGGGGTTTTGTTTGTTTTGAGACAGGGTCTCACTATGGGGTTGAGACTGACCTGGAACTGGCTGTGTAGCCCAGGCTGGTCTCAAACTCCCAGCAATCCTCTGGCCTCAGCCTCCTGAGTGCTGGGATTACAGGCATGTGCCACCACACCCAGTCTCTTTGTTTTCTTTGAGACAGGATCTCCCTATGTATTCCAGGCTGGCTAAGAACTTGCAGCAATCCTACTGCCTCTGCCTCCTGAGTGTTGGGAGTATAGCCAGCGCCATCATGCGAGGCTAAATTATTTATTAGATTGCAGTCACCTGCCTCAGCCTCCTGAGTGCTGGGATTACAGGCATGTGCCACCACACCCAGTCTCTTTGTTTTCTTTGAGACAGGATCTCCCTATGTATTCCAGGCTGGCTAAGAACTTGCAGCAATCCTACTGCCTCTGCCTCCTGAGTGTTGGGAGTATAGCCAGCGCCATCATGCGAGGCTAAATTATTTATTAGATTGCAGTCACCTTTTTTTTTTTTGCTTTCCTCTTGGGAATAGCCCGCCCACTGGGGAGG